GTAGTGACCTCCTGTTTTCAGCCTCCCCAGGGCTGGGATTACAGGCGTGCACCACCATGCTGGGTAACCAACTCAATGCACCTAGGGCGGGGCTGGTGCAGTTGATGGTGCCAGGGAAGATTAACTTATTTTAAAAGGGGGTTTTTATTTTATTTAGCAAGCTCTAAAACCATCACTACTATCTAATTCCAGAACATTTTCATTTTGTTAACCAATGAGTACTGAAAATATCTGATTGACAGCAGGAAGCCCAGTGGGGAAATGTCTGCATTATAGAAGATAAGATTAAGCATCATGATTTGGGAGCTGCAGTTGGTACTGTCCTTTTTCATCTGGACCTTGAGATCTCTGTGAGGTACCTTCTACAGCAGTGGCAGCCACCAATCCAGAAGTCCATGCCAGCTAAACTTAGAAGCTGACTTTTGGCTCACTGTGCTAAACTAAGGTTTTTCAGAAAGAGAGAACTATATTTAATTGAACCGTGCTCACTAAAAATATGACTATTGATTCTTTTTATGACAGCAAAAGATTTTATTATATTATTAGTAAGATAAACTAATAATTTTATTTAGCAAGCTCTAAAACCATCACTACTATCTAATTCCAGAACATTTTCATTTTGTTAACCAATGAGTACTACAGTCTGGGGTGGTTTTTTTGTTTGTTTGTTTGTTTGGTAGTTTTGGGGGTCACAGAAGTTATTTCATTCTTGTTCTTCCTGTTAAAATTTCATATTTGGGTATATTTTATGAATATGCATTAATTATATATTACAGAAAGCATCAAAATTCAAAATTAGTAAATAAACCTGTAGGAGTTTGTGCTCAAAATGTTTTATTTATTATGAATTTTCTGATATCCTCTTTAATCTCTTTTTTCAGAGTACTGTGGTTTTCAGTGTAGAGATCTTTTACTTCCTTCATTAGATTGATTTCGAGATATTTTATTTTTTAGGATGTTATTGTGAAATTGTTTCTCTAATTTCTCTCTAAGTGAGGTTGTTATTTGTGCACAGAAAAGCTATTGATTTTTTTCCCCTCTGTATTTTAGGGAAGGATCTACAGGGTGTTCAGGGTCTCACTACCAGATTGGACTCGTAGTGATTCTCGTGTTTACAGCCTCCCAAGTGATGGGATTACAGGCATGTGCCACCATGCTCAGTCTCAATTTCTGTCTCAGCTTGTCCCCAGTGCAGAGCCATCATGGCAGACCTGAGGATCAAACCCTTGGCCCCTGCGCCTGCTTGCAGGTGCTTTAATCTGCTGAGCTATTTGGCCGACCCAGCTATTGATTTCTGAGCATTAATTTCGTATCCAACTATGCTACTGATTTTGGTTATTGAAATTTGGTAGTTTTGGGGGTCTTCTATGAGGAATATCATATGATTCACAAGTAATGGTAATTTAACTTCTCCTTTTCATCTCTTTTTCCTTGATGCTCACCACTCTGCCATTTTCTCAAAAGTCTTTAAGACTAGCTTTTTGCTAGAATTTGATTTACATTTTAGTGTTCAAGAGAGCTCAGGGAATTTTTAATTAACAGAAACTCTGGTTTAGATACAGTAATATCAATTCAGATTCAAATGCATTGAACTTTACTGGATATATATTATATGCCAGGCACCATAAAAACTTAATTCACTTTCAACTTATTTTGTCATTATAATAAACTGTACAGAGGATCATGCTAACCTGTTTTGCAGATGAGGAGACTCTGAATTTGAAGAATGGAATCATTTTTCTATCACTACATAAACCATATGGATGATTCAAAATGAGGCCTTCCTACTCCAAGCTCAGGATTCTCCTTTCTTTTCTATTCTACCAGCAGTATTAAGGGTGCAGAACTGTGGCCTATGTTTTTGCTCTGACACTAATGAATATCGCAGGGAAGCTACTCAACTTGGTACTTCAGTTTCCTCATCTGTAAGATGAGACAAAAGACAATATTATTACTATTTTACAGAATTGTTGAGAGGATTAAATGATGCTGTAATCATGCCTGACACATAGTAATTTCTCGATAGATGTTGCCTGCCATCATTACATCGCTTCTTTCCTCCAATTCTGTTCTTTAATTAGATTGTAACCCTTTTCATACTATGGGAATGGTGTCTCGTTTCTCCTCCTCTCTTCTCTGCTTCTTTTTCTTGTCCTGAGCTTGAGGTGTAGTGCTTCATTTATAAATGATGTTCAAGTGTTTATCAATAATAGTTTTCATTTACATGAACTTTTCAATCAATAAGTACTCATTGGCTACTACCATGAGGGAACCCTGGCCAACACAGTTTTGAAGTTCTTTGTTTCTTGTGTTATCTAATTTTGTCCTTACCACATCTTTAGTTTTTAAAGAACTTTCATGGCCATTTACTCACCAAAAAAACTGAGATTTACAGGGTCAGCGACAGAGGTCACACAGGCTGCTGGGGTTGGAAACAGGGTTGTATAGGAACCATCTTATGACTTAGAGCATGTGCTTCCCAGATACCCTTGTTACCATGACCAGGGGTGGAGGTGAGTATTTCTTCTGACATGGTGACTCTTACAGTTCTCCCTCCTTTGGAGGGAGGCAAGTCCAAGCTTGGATCCATTTTTTCAAAGACTTGAAAACATTAAGTCATTGAGAGGACTGAGAAAATGGGACCCTTATTACATCTTGAAGAAATATTTCATTCAATTTACTTGACATCATTTGGAGATCACATGTTACTTGGTAAGTGTGACCATTAAGTGTGAAGTGTCAACTCGACTTGAGTAAGAACAGCCTAGCAGATTAGTAAAGTTCTGGGTGTATGTGGATGCTTGAAATGTAGGCCAGCAAACACAGGGGGAATCATCTACAAGGAATAAGGGGCCATCAACCATTTGGTTTGTAGGCTGGACAGAATGAAAAGGGAAAGAAGGAAGTGTTAAATTTTTTGAGGAAAGGTCTTTGCCATTAGCTTTGGACATTGGTCTCCAGTTTCTTGAACCCCAAGAAAGAGGCCATGAGGACTACAATAGGCAACTCTTTAGAGTTCACATCTTCCTACAACTTGTCCTTAGGTTCTGGACACCGAGCTATAGGAATTAATGTTTTCTCTGCTGGTTTTTAGTCTTGTTTCAGTCTCATTGTGGTTTTTTTGTTTGTTTGTTTGTTTGTTTTTTTAAGTTTATAATTTGTTTACAAACCATTTAGGATAAAAACCCACTTTATGCAACTGTAACCTTTAATTTCTTCTGAAGAAAAGTACAAAAGATCAGACTAAAACTAAGACAAACATTTAAAGAAAAATCCTTTAAGAGTACAAAAACAAACTGTAAATGGTTCATTTTACCAAAAGAATTACTTTTTGTACAAAATATAAAGAATTTTACACTATAAACAAGACTGTTGTCTATGTATTTAAATTAGAATTTTATCTGACTTTCCTCCAATTCTTCTTGAGCACAAAGCATATTGCATTTCTAAGTCAGAAAGCTAATAACCTCAATGGGCAAACTGTCTCAGAGAAACTTTTATCCCTAATATTTCTGAAAAGATAGTGTTTATTCTTTGCTTTTGCTCAAAATCCAGTACACCAGTAAATTTTTAGTTTACAAAATTCTGACATATTAACAGAAAGAATATATTAATGCTTTATATTTAAGCATTGTCTTTTAGGAAATAATATAACCCAGAGCTTAACACAGTATCTTTTTTTTTTCCATTATTTATTTTTTTAATTTATTTTTTTTTTTACAGAACTCTGCTGCTCATTCGTTATTTTTTTTCAACAAATAATACACTGCATATATTCTTCTTAGTGGTTAATTGCTGTACAAGATGTGGACTTGTGATCCTATTTACAAACACCATTAGAACAAATCATTCTATTCATTAACAGAATGTAACTATATATCCATCCCAACCACCTTGAATACACAGATATAAAATGGACATTCATCTGTATACCCCATTTTTTCTAAGCTCCATTATTGAATATTATAGGTGTGTAAACTCAACAAAATATTCCAAAAGAGTCCAGTAGCCCATAATAGCATTGGGTCTTCTGTTTAACTGGCAATGTCAGAAATTATTGACCTGAGTCCCCCACAGCTCAACTTAACAGCATGGCTTTATTTCTTATAATTTCGTCTTCATACTTTTCTGCTGGGTGGTTAAGACCAAGGTAAAGCAGGACCTATGCAACAAGAGTTGTAGCTTTTTGGTCTGAGAAGGTCAGTGAAATGCCCTCAGGATTTATCCTGAGATCCTGTACCTCAGATTGTAGAACCTTTATCAGTGCAGCCATGTGGATGAGTCACCGCCAATGCTTGGCCAATGTGCTCTCTGTGAAAGCCTGAGAGAGTGTCCTCTCCCCATGTGACTCTCCTTAGGCCCACTTAACACAGTATCTAAAAGACTACAATCTAATAATTAATTCAGAAAACCTTAGTAACTTCTGTCTAAAATGACCAAACTGATCCCATACCTCCTACCATGTCCTTATTCTGTTTTCTCCTATTATGTCACTACTTTATTTTCATGGCCCTTCTATGAAAGAAACAGCTTGAAAGAAAACCTGATTAGAGTAAGTCATAGAAAATAGTTCGCTTAACATCAGGTGAACCTCAAACTTGATCATCAAAGAAACTTCTGTACATGCATGGTTACTCATACAGCAATATAATTTTGGCCTGTTTGTGATATTAAATTGATTTTATAGTCTTTTAGTAATTCAAACCTTTATTATCTAAAAGCCTTTCAAATAGAATTATAATAAGCATAATAATTTTATTTTATTTTTTTGTAGTATCAGGGATTGAACTCAGGACCTTGGGCTTGCCAGGCAAGTACTTACTCCACAGAACTATCTCCCCAGCCCTGTAGTGTTTCAGGCAGCCAAATTAAATAGAAATATTATAGGCAGTCAGACAGGGCCAGACTCTCAAAGGAGATAACAGTGAAGAGGAGATGCCTTACAACTGTGGGAGGGACGGTTGCTCCTGCTGTGAGCCAGAGACCAAACAAATGCTAACCTCCCTAAAGATTAGCATCCCGGATTGATCATTACCCTGAGAAAGCCAGAAAGAATCCTTATTTGATGGCTACCAGATAAGGTCCTGTTTTACATTCATGCACCCTTGCTATGTGACTGGCTTCCCCATTTAGTCTTGGACTTAGTCAATTGTACCTGAGCAATGATGCTTGTAATCCCATTGGTTGACCATAGCTTTGTCCCACCCCACATCCACCTAAGCAAGTTCCCCCTTTCTCCACCTTAGCCCCACATGGTTTTACACTATAAAAGTCCTTTGGAAGAGACAGGTTTCCGGGGAAGAACCCGCTTGGGCCCCTCTCCTGTCCCTCTCTCTGACAGGAGCTTTCTTTCTCTCAATAAATATATTCTGCTCATAACCTCCATTTGTTCCTAAAATTCATTCTTTGGTTTTAGAAAACACGAACTCCTGCAGGTCAAGTCAGGAGATCATTTTTCCCCTATGTCATTTGGAAGTTCCCTGTATTGTTTGGAGGTCACCCACCGGAGATCAGTTTTTCTCACTGTATTACTAGCATAATAATTTTAAAGGAGCCTATATTTAAAAAGTTCATCTGGTATTACAGAGTCCTGTACTGATTTGCAGTTATCTAAACATTGATACTTTAATTCCTAAGTGAAAACAAAATACAATTTTATGGAAAATGCTTTTTAAAGAATTTCTCCAGTTCTTCTAATCATATGTACTTTATCACTACCTTGTATTATCATTACTTTTATAACTGATGGTTTAATGCTTGAGACCTTAAAAAGATACTACCTTCCAGATGTAGTGATGCACACCTACAATCCTAGTATGTGGGAGGGTGAGGCAGGAGTATTGCCACGTGGTTAAGCTAGTGTGGGGTGTGTAGTGAGTTCAAGGCCTACCTGAAGTATATTTTTAGACACTTTCAAAAAAAAAAATGACACTACTCATCACCTAAAATATGCATAACTCTGGCTTTAAATTTTTTTCCCTGTTTATTTCAAGTTTCATTTTTATCATCTAGGGTAAAATGTTTGTGATTAAGGAGATATGTTTTAAGTTATGGCTACAAATAGCATATGATAGTAAGACTTCATATGTCTTCTATACTTAGATCAATTTTTTAACAAGAATAAAATTAAAATCAAAGAGAACGTATGCTTCATTGTGAAAATCTTATCTAGTAGGGGCAAATGTACTTTAGTGTGTTCTCTCAAAACATCTTTCCTAAATGAAGTCTTTATTGCTACTATAAAATGATGCTTTCCACTCGTGACATTTTATACAGCATCATTAAAGCACCAAAGAAAATTCTGTAAACAAACTTTTAAGCAGTAAACCAAGGGAAAATATACATTTGCCTTCATTACAATATTTTAAAGGCCATGATATGCATCTCTACTCCCTACAATGAAGATTTTTATAATAAAATCAGGCATATTTATACAAACAAGAAACAAAATTTCTGTACATGTTGGAGAAACTAGACATATAGACTAGAACATTTTAGTTAATAAAATGAGCACAAGAAACCTATAAAATGTATGCAATGTATATAAAAACTTCCATATAATAGCTTTATTATGGGGATTCATAATTATTAGGAATAAAAATGGTAATTCCACTGGCTTATAATTATCCTGTAAAGATTAAGAAAGTGATAAACAGTAAATTAGAAATTTTTTATCTTGCAGTATTTCCGTCTTGTTGTACTGGAGCCACTTTATAACAGTTAATATTGGCTCCTTTGAGAATCAGAATTTTAGCAGAAAATGAATTCCAGCTGGAATAAATTAACAATCTACAGTAGATTCCTGATACATTAGGAAAAAGAATTAGTGCAAGTCATGAGAACTGATCTACATATTACTTGACAGAGAACTTAAACCTTTAAACCTGCTCTATTTTACCAGATTTGTTTGTTGCTATTATATTGCTTTCTAAATTATTTGGCAGCAGGGTATCAGAAAAATAAAAACATAAAACTTTAATGTCTGTTGATTTATGAAGAAAAAAGTCTCAAAATAGCCTTTTCCTATTGCTGGTAGGAAGAGGTTTCATTTGGCTCTGTGGATTTTTAAAAGGAAAAGAGAAAAAGTGTTCGGTAGTTACAAAAACAAAGGAAAGGAACATTGGAAAAAATTACTATTTTAGGAAAACACGTTAGAAGACAGACAACCACAGGCTTTTGTGTCTTCTACCATTCACTGTCTCTGGAGTACTTTCACCTGCAACACAATATACAAATTATTATTTACATTAGGATTATATTGGTAAGAGACCAGATTCATTTTTTGTTGTGCTCTGATTTAAGTGCCCATTGAGGTCCCATGACCACCCAGGCAAGTAGGCCTTAAACAACAAAATACTCCATTTACATTGTGTACTGTTTTCTTATTCAAGTTTGATATACAAATAACTCGGAAAAGTCATGTAAACTTAGGTTGAGTTTTTGTAGTTGATAACTGCTCACTGAAGATCAGACGCTTCTCTCTTGTTAAGTAAATGTTCTGCAGGCTTACAAAGGCATTTCTCTAAACAGTGGTATCTCCAAAGTCCTTGTTCCAACATACATATGCTTCTGAAGCTTGAGGACTCACACTGTGTTTTATTTTTTTCAAGGATTCAGTGAAGTCAGATAATTGAGTACTTTGCATCTCACTGGCAGGTGTAGTCTTCACCTGTTCTGGTTTCAGTTCTCGGATAGGTCCCAATGCTGCATCTTTTGCCGAAGCTGTTAGGCCACTTTCTGACTGTTCATCAGTCACTCTAGCAAGTTGTGTTAGTTCTTTTTGTGCCAGTGGACTTCCTTGTTTACATAACAGATTTTTAAGTAAAAGTAATCTTCTCTTCTCATTTGGTAAAGATACATGAACCCATTTGATGAACTGCCTGAGAACAGCCTCATGAAGCTCTTGAGGTCTGTTAGTTGCACCTATTACAAGTACTCTGTCAACTCCAGCAGACTGTGCACCATCAAATTCTACTAGAAACTCAGGTTTCAAACATCTACTAGCATCTGCTCTCCTTCTCTTCTTTCACACAAAAGGCTGTCAACTTCATCTATAAAAATTATAGGAGGCTGAAGAAGTTCTCGAGCCACAGCAAAAAGAGCTCTTACCAATTTTTCGCCTTCTCCCACATATTTTGAAGTTAAGCTTGCAGCACTGATATTTAAAAAGGTTGCATTAGATTCAGTAACTACTGCTTTAGCCAGCATTGTCTTTCCATTTCCAGGTGGACCAAAGAGTCATAATCCCTTGTAAACAACTCAGGCCTCAGAGAAGGAAGAATAGCAATTTCTTGCAAAGCTTGTTTTGCCAACTCTTGACCAGCTATATCATCAAATTTAACAGCTGTCCCATGGTCCACAATTTCATTCATTCTAAGGTCCGCAAGGTTGCTGTTCACATTCCTAAAATTCTTCAAGTCTTTCTTTTTCTGAGCAGCAGTTGTAGAGGTTGAAGTTTTATTTGTCCTATTTGTTTTTGGAGTACCCTTATGAGTGACAGTTGTAGGACCAAGTCCCTGTCTTGTTACAGAAACCATGGACAAACCACTGCAATTGGGTGCTCTGTGGTGACCTGAAAGGTCTGTGGATCCAGTTTTCATAACTGTCTCTGAACGTGGCAATGAATTACTACCATATGTTAAGGGATCTTTTCTTTCTGGAACAGCTCCACTTTCTGACTGGAGATGTCCATTTTAGCATGTCAAGTTAGTACAGTCTTTATAGACTTCCATTTTTCCCTTCAAAAATTGTAAACCTGGTTGCAGCTTTTCTAGAGGTCCTAAACGCTCCATGGGCGTAACCAAATTAGGCATCATTTTTGCTTGGAGATGTCTAGCTCTTTCACGTTGCTCACCTTGTCCTGTAACTGTGATAGCTATTCCTTTTTATAGTTCTTCGATACCTTTCTTATACCATTGCATAGCTTGCCCCTTCTGTCCTGCTTTCTCGTCCTTGTCAATGTGCTGGGCAACAGAGATATACTCGAAGGCCTGTCTGTGGAAGGCTCGGACGCGCTCGGCCTGGCTCTGGTGTTGGAGGTGAGGCTGAGGAAGGTGCCAGTGTGGCCTAGGAGCTCCTTTTTTTTTGCAGTACCGGGGATTGAACTTAGAACCCTGCGCTTGCCAGTCAGGTGCTTATACTACTAAGCTATGTCCCCAGCCTGCAGGAGCTCCTCTTTACCGCTATGAGGGTGCAGGACAAGCCCTGGAAGAGCCACAGGAAGAGGAGCCCCAGGTGGAAGGCCACCAGGCGCAGCAGCATGAAGCCCTCAATTTTTTTTTAATCCATCTATCCCTTTTGAAATGCGAATGTTTTTAATTGTCATTGTTTTGCTGTGTTGTTTTTCCTTTGTCCCTTTTTTAAAATAGGGACTCACAACTAAGAGTTTGTCTCTAGTCTCAGAAGAGTCTTTTGTACTTTTCAGCAACTCCAGAACTTCGAAGACTGGTGTGCACTGGAGATAGACTAAATGCATTATACATAGGAGATGGGCTGAGGGCCATTGAGTGCCATGCATCCATTGAGGGACAGGGTGGATTGCTATGTTTCAAATCTAAAATGCTCCTGCAAAGCCTCATGTGTTCAGAAGTGGGACTTTTGGAGGTGACGATGTCACAGAGGTACTGTAAAAACCACTGACTTTTCTATTGATGAATTCTTAGCTGAATGTGCCGCCAGGAGGTGGGGGCTAGCTGGACGAAGAAGATCACTGGGGCGTGACTTGAAAGGGTATATGTCCCTGTCTTGCTTCTCCTCCACTTTCTCTGCCTCCTGAGCACCGTAATGTGAGTAGCTTTCCTCCCAGACTCTACACCAGGTGTTTTCTGTGTTGAAGCCAGCTGATCAGGCAGGGTGAGACTTCTGAAACTGTCAGCCAAAACAAACCTCTCCTTTTCTGGTTTTATGTCTTTTGGTCCCAGCAATGAGAGAGTGACAAAGACAGTAAACATCCCATTATTATTAAAGAAAAACAATTGGGTAATTCGTTTAGGGGATTATACACTTGACTAGCTTGATGATTTTTCATTTAGTTAAATTGAAATGTATAAAATTACATAAATCATGATTAAAGTTGTCATAATGAACGAGGTCTTCAATTCATCTGTACTGGTTGAAAGTGAAATAAAACCCCATTTACTTCTTTCTTTGGAAGTATCTGGTCTCCTCCCATGGCCTTAGGCTTTCCTTTGCTTGCAAGCCCAAGCATCTTTGTAGAGGGTATTCAGAGAGCTTCCCAGTGACTTTTTTTTTTTTTTTTGACACTTTTCAGACTAAAGAAACATTTGCTATACACTGAATGTCTTTCCCGCTGGATGTCTTTTATTAGAGTTTCATTCTCAGATCAAGTGAATAAATTAACTAATACAAGGAAAAAGCTCTGGAGGTCTTTCTAGTAGCTCCTGAATTAGAAGGAAATTTTTAAGGATTGCGTACAGCTCTAGAGGCCCCCAGGTATGGATGTTACTCATGGGGACAGTTCCTGCACATGGTCTTTTTCTGATTCCTTCAAGAGGTATATATTCTCAGAACTATCTCTGGAATTGTGGGAGTGCTAACAACCTTCCAGGAGCGCACCTTCACCTCCAATCTGTCCTTCAACATTCCTGAAATGTGAATGACTCTTCTATTTTGCAACAACCATTCCCCTCAGCCAGCTGCCTCTCATAGCCACAATTCAGTTTTTCTGCTTTCTTTGTCTCTCAGACCGTCCCTGTAGTTGGTCTTTATTTGTTGCCTGGTGGACTTACCAGTGCTCTCTCTTGCACTTTTTGGCTGTCCCCTCTGCTTCCTTAGTAGGTGACAACTATTGGTCTGTCTCAAGGGCAGCCCAAAATCTTACTGTATTTAGGCAGTACCACAGTATGGCCACCATCTGCCCCAAATGGCAAAAATAACCAAGGTTCTTAATCATGTTCTGCAATTTAGAGATGACAGATATAACATCTTACCACTCACACCCATTTTTCTATGCCTTTTTGTACAAATGAGAGGGTGAGAGAGGTCAAAATATAACCTCATGCCCTCCTCTGATTCCTGGACCAAGAGCTGCACCTGTGTGACTCAGGACAGGCAAGGAGTTCTGGGCTTTGATGGTTTACTTTCTCTGTATGATACATCACCAGACAACTGCAGGCAAGAAAAGCCCGGAGTCTCAGATGCATGCTTATCTTTTCCTTTGTCTCTGCTCTACCTGTCTGCTCAGATTAGAGACCCACGAGGCATGCCTACCTCTGGGCTCTGTGTAGTGTCCGCCAATTGCAGATGCTCACAGAACATGGATGATTGATGACATTGTTAATCTGAGTAATAACAGGCATTTGGGGTGAGCGCTCAAGGAAGCCTCTCGGTACTGGAAATGGATGTATGTGTCCTACTCAGGAGGAGGAAACTGCAGCTATTGGTACCGGGGTGGACCAGGTGAAAGTATTCCTCCCTTTAAAAATAAAAAAGCAAGTCAATCTATCGAGCAAGCAAACAAACAACCATCATATAAGCTGATACTATAAACCCAGAGGCCCCAAATTTGTGCTAGTTGCTAGAGATTTGAATCAAAAGGAATGAGGCAATTTCATTAATTAGCCCTTTTCAGGCCTTGCTTTGCGGTTACCAACATTTCCTTGGTATTTTGTGCAACTCTTGTCACATTTATCTCAATAAAAGTGCAGAGGCTTCTCAGGTGAGTATATGAGGAAAAACAGAGCTCTGTTTTCAGATAGTAAGGAATTAACCTCTGAAAGAATCTGGAGAAATGGAGAACAAGTGTTGGTGAGGAGGTGAATTTGGAACTGTTCTGTTGGTGGCAGCGTCAAATAGTGAACTACTGCAGAAAACAGTATGAAGAATTCTCAAAAAATTAAAATATGGGGCTGGGGAGATGGCTCAGTAGAATAAGTGCTTCCCTGACAAGCACAAGTGTCTGAGTTCAATCCCCGGTTCTGCCAAAAAAAAAAAAAAAAAAAAAAGATATGAATTATTGTGTGATCTAGCAATCCTACTTCTGGGTATATATTCAAAGTCATTTCAGGATCTCAAAGACATTTTATTCACCATAGCTGAGACAGAAATAATCCAAATGTTCATAGAGAGGAGAATGAATAAATAAAATGTGGGTATAATGTATAATGATACATTTAGCCATTAAAAAGAAAGAAATCCTGCCATAAGCTCCAGTGTGGATGAATCCTGAAGCCATTATGCTAAATGTTTTTTGTTGTTGTTGTTTTTGCGGTACTGGGGATTGAGCTCAGGACCTTGTGCTTGCCAGGCAGGCACTTATTCTACGGAGCTATCTTCCTGGCCCCTGCTAAATGAAATAAGACAGACACAAAAGGACAAAGGCTGTATAATACTACTTATTTGTCATATGTTCAACATCACAGAAAACAGAAACTAGAGGGCTGTGGAGATAGTTCAGTGGCATAAGCACCTGCCTGGCAAGTGCAAGGTCTGAGTTTGATGCCTGGTACAAAAAAACAAAACAAAACAAACTCACTAGAAAATAGAAGGGTGTTTACGAAGGACTGTGGGAAAGAAAAAAGAGGAAATAGTGTTTAACTGGACCTACATTTTTGCAAGATGAAAAAGTTCTAGAGATCTATTGCTCAGCATTGTGAATATACTCAGTACTATTGCACTATATATTAAAAATCATTAAGATGGCACATTTAATGTTATACATCTGTAACCATAATTTTAAAATTAAAATTGGAAAATTTCTATTGTTAAATGAAAATTCTTTGATGATGTAATTAGTCAAGTAGGTATGTATCTGAACTTATATGTAATGAATTCTCTTTTCTTTTTTATTTTATTCTCTCTCTCTCTCTCTCTCTCTCTCTCTCTCTCTCTCTCTCTCTCTCTCTCTCTCCTTTCTCCATCAGTATTGGGGACTTTTTCCCTGAGCTATATTTTCCATAATAATCTCTTTTTCTTTTTTCTTTTGAGTGAGGGTCTCGCTAAGTCACAAGTTGTTATCCTCCTACTTCAGCTTCCAGGAGAGCTGTCACTACAGTCATATGCCACTACACCTGAGTTAAATTTTCTTAAAGCAAAGCTTGCTTGTAACTTGAGTGTGGAGGAATCAAGTGGGATGTTTCATTTCAATGCTTCTATATCTGATGACCTAGATCTACCACTTCCATCTTACCCCCCAAAACATTATAATGCCAAATTACAGTTCTCCAGGCTACAAGAGACCTGTGATACACAAGAGAACTGCCACTAATAGCTCCAAAGATGAATGATTTGGTAGAATTGAGATAAAAGGGAGTAGGTACTGTGGTCTTAATGCAGTTTCCACAGGTAGTATATGTATTTGGCCTTTGCCCTGGATTGGTAGAAGAATCCCTAAAACTTTTGGGATTACTTGATCATAAGTGTTTTACAGAGTTCTTTTGTAATACTCCATAATTTATGCTAATGAGGTGACAAGAGGGAGGGTCAGGAATAGTTGACATAGGAACTAATCAAGAGACTGGAGAGCTGTGATTTCAGCCCCCAATCTCCAGAAAGGTGAAGGGGTTTGAGTTTGAGCTAATTATAATCAATAGCCAATTATTTAATGAACTGTGCCTATGTAGTGAGATATCATTAAAAAAAAATTCCCTTAACTTGGTTTCGAGGGCTTTACGTTGGTGAGCAAGTAGAAATGGTGCACCCAGAGGAGGCATGGAAGCTCCACGCCTCCCTCCCATACTTTACCCTATGCATCTTTTCCATTTGGTTTTTACTGAGTTGTCTTATAATAAAAATTGAGTAGTAAGTGTTTTACTGAGCTCCCTCATTCTATAAAATTGCTGAACCCAAAGAGGGATCGTAGGAACCCCTGGTTCAGAGCTGATCAGTTAGAAGTACAAGAAGCCAGGGCTGGGACTGGTATCTGAAGCCAAGGCAGTCTTGTGGGGCTGAGCCTCCACCTTCTGGGAAATGGTGCCAACTCCAGGAAGGTAGTACAGAGTGGAACTGAGCTGTAGGACACACCTCACATCTTATTTCCTCCCTGGGTCTGGGGAGAATTTGGTTTGTATCTCCCTTTCCTCCTTTTCTGAAGTGCTAGGGATTGAATCCAGGGCTTTTTCCACCTTTGTCTTCTTTTTATTTTTATTTTTTTCACCTTTGTCTTCTTAAAAAATTGTTTTACTTTGAGACAGGGTCTTACTAAGACACTAAGTTGCTTGAACTTCTCAACCTGACTCAGCCTCCCCAAGGGCCAGGAGTACAAGGTATGTCTTTTTTCTTAAGGGACCCAATCCCACATAGAAGATGCGATTTGTGTTCTGGAGTAAGGATAGGAGTCTCAGCCTAACCTAAAGGTGAGGATGTGAGTGACCCCTGGGATGACCAAGCAGGGACAGTGTTAGAGCCATTACGTGTCACAGTGCCCCTGACTAGCCCTACAGTCACAGCCAGTGCAAACTGTTGCTGCCTGTCTGATGCTTCATTCCCACCTGTGACTCTCAGAGAGAAACCATGAGCACAGAAAAGCACCCTGTTGTTTTGTGATGTCACCTCTGGAATGTTCTGAGTGTTTTGGTGACCAGCTTCCGCATAGGACCTATATCTGGCACCTCACACTGGTATGGCTTTTTGTTTGGGATACAAAAAATAGTCTTAGACAAAGATAGATGTAGCTTTTTCTGCTCTAAAGATGTCCAAACAGCTTCTAAGTCAACTATAATTCCTCTGCTGATTTCTGTTCAGAGAACAATAATGTATCTTACCAGGTATCATCAACACATTCCTTCAGACTCAAATTTCATGATGTACATAATTGACGAAAAGGGAAAAAATCGGCAGAGAGTTTTCATTTATTCCAGTGAGGGGTTGAGGTGCGGAGGATAAGCTGGTGAAGCAGAACTCTTATTTTCTCTTCCACAGCATTCAAGGCCAAATTTTACAAGAAAAGGAGACACGAGATCTGAAAACATAGAAATACCCATCAATGTGGTTCTACCTCAGGTAGGGATGGTCACAGAAGGATGAAGCTCATTGGTTTAAATGGAATAACTTTCTTCTTTCAAACCTTTATCACCCTGTTTCCAAAAAGTGAGAAGTCAGCCTCTTAGATTCTAGTTATGGGTGACTATCTCTGGTTGTGTACCTGCGGGAGGCCACCTGGCCTCTCTGAGCTGAGTGCTTTGCTTTGAATGCAGGGGTTTGGGATAGTTGAGCTGAATAGCCCCTCCAACTCGATGCTATTTTCTCTTGTACTCTAAAAGAGTCTTCTCAAATGAGGTCCTTTGCTGCATGCTGTTGGTGGCACCCCGGAGGAGCAAGGATTAGAATCGGGGGCTGAAGTCAAATGTATAAGAATGAATCCATGAGAAGAAAAGTTGGTACAAGAGCCAAAGGGCCCAGAGTCCTCTGGGGTTGTCAGGAGAATGCAGCCCTGTTGTACACCAAAGACAAAATATGAGAGGCATGGGCATTTGTGGTTGTAGTAACTTTTGTTTTATGTTTGTTTTGAGGCCGATGAATTGCTGAAGTCCTGGAAGGTGTAGCATTCTCAGGTTTCCTGCAAGCAAACATGTCCTTGTAGGGCCCTTCTGATTGGCTTGTTTCTGTGCTGCTATGTCACAAAGGGGTGGCTTTGCTTTCTCTAGAGTCACCTAAGGCCCTTTTGGAAGACCATGGCCATTCAACCCGAGGGGGTGAAATGTAGGATGGAGGAAGCAAGCGCAGAGGTAACTACTGAAGTCTTCACTCAGGGAGGTGTATGAGGATCTGTCAGCAGCAGGCATTCAGTCAGCGTGGGCAGATAGCGTAGGTGGGACACAAAATTATAAGACAAGTAAACATTCTGGATGTTTGCTTTCATGTTATCCTGGTGACTTTGAAATGGATAAGTAGTTTCCTATATGTTTCAGCTCATAAAACTTAGCCAAAGTATTAGATAATTTTCTCCTGATCATTTGATAGGTGACAATAAGCTGTAAGCACATTTTTTAGATCTGATTCTTGTTAGTTGAAACACAAATTGAGTTCGATTGGCCACTTTTATCTGCTTTAAAATGAGTGTTGCTTCTTTGGTTCCTCCTTCGTCTTTGTAGTGCCAAAAGACAGTGACAGGACACCAACTGGAGATGGGGTGGTAGTAGAATTTGAATGTGGTCATGTGGCAGAAAGAATGGAAAGATTTTTCTACCTTCCCCTAGCACAACTTTTCTCCCTGCCCCCAGGAATAGCCCAGCCCAAGAGGAGAGAGGATGGTTTAAGAAGGCTGAAGCTTACTCTGGGCCTGTCTAGTTCCTGTGCTGCTGACCTGGTGCAGCTGCTGGGGTCCTCAGGGGCAGGGGACATGAGGGAAGGGAGATCAATCTGGGCACGTGTGTTCAACATCAGCAGATGTAGCCTTCAGTACACCAGCCACGATGGCACAAGGCAGGCACCTGCCAGCATGCTTTGGACTCATCCTCTAGGGAAAGGGAGCAGTGTCTATGGGTAGACGACCTGAAGTCAGCCAGGCTCAGGACTGTGAGAGGACCTGATGGACTTCCTGTACCTCCACAACTGAGAAGGAGCATGACTTGGGGGAGAGGACTGATACTGGAAACAAGGAGAGGAACAGCTATTGACTGATGGCACAATGAGTAAGAGTGAGGTAGAGATGTGACAGGTAGGAACATTTGAAGTGCATAAGTGAGGGCAGAGCTGGAATTAGAGGCCTGAACCCAGGTCAACGCCAGTGCCCTTGGGGGACATACTCTGGGCTAGGCTGGGTCTCATCTTAGCTCCATGTTTCCTCCCTTGCTTCTAGGGAATAGCACCTGCGCTCCCCCAACCTTATCTTCTCGCCCCAACGAGCCTCTCTATAGCTATCCTGTGCAGCTTTTTTCTGAACCCAAATGCATTCATCAAGGAAGGGAATCACCACAGCAACTCCATCCCCAGGAAGTGCCTCAGGCTCCCACCTCCCAGTCCTTCTGGGTGTTTGGCTTCACAATTACTTTGAAAATGCCTATGATTTGCTATATATCATCATCCTTAGGTCTTCTCAGGTCTTATTGATTTCCCATTTTTCTTCTTCACATTAAATATTTGTGTTTTCTGATGTGGTTCCCTCCAGCATTGACTTGTAAGCCATCAATGTTGTTTCCTGCCCAAGTGAACTAATGTTCCGATTCCTCTTGTAGATAATGAGCCTGCTTCTCACAGCACTCTCCCTTCCCCAAAAGTGTGCTCTGAGTCTCATGAAAGCACATTTACTACCAGGTTGGTAATGAATGATCCACACCAGACCAGAATGAGCTCCACCAGCTCCTTCCTTGTCCCCTTTGTCCCTCACCACTACCTTTTCTCTTTCCTCTTTGCTTGAGTGCCTTTAGGAACAATGGAATCCCATGGATACTAACCAAATACACACCAATATAAATAACTGTTCAGAGAGACCAAGAGACTGTGTTAGACAATTAGCTATAACTATCCCAGATGACATTGTCTTTAAACTCTGCCTTTAGCATTCTAATTCTATCAAAATCAGTAACATTTACTTTCTGAGTTATTTTTTATTTGTTAGCATTTATTAAAATAAACAATAAGAAATTCTTTCTTTTTCTTTCTTTCTTTCTTTCTTTCTTTCTTTCTTTCTTTCTTTCTTTCTTTCTTTCTTTCTTTCTTTCTTTCTTTCTTTTTTCCAGTACCTGGGATTGAACTCAGGACCCTGTGCTTGCCAGGCAAGCGCTTATTCTATTGAGCTATCTCTCTTGCCCCAGTAATTCTTACTGTCATGGCATTAAGAATGCATGTTTACTTTAAAGCATGATAAAGAAACTCAGCCATGTCCTTTCATCTGGAAATTGGAATATAGGTGAATTTTCCTACCGGGATTCTATGTCTTTAAAAGAACATATAAATAGCTGAATGTTCTCAACTAGTAGCTTTCAGTAATCCAGGCAAAGTAGATAATCATAAAACTTGGTCAACAGGCTTGGATTCTACAGAGAATGTTTGGACGTTTCTACTGGGTTTTGATAGTCACACTTCAGTAAGGGTGGGGAAAATTCTGTGCATGTCTCTGAGTATTTTCTGTTGTTATAACAAAATACCTGAGACCAGGTAATTTATAAAGAAAAGGAGTGATTAAAGAAGTGTTTGATTATGGAGGGTAGGAAGTGCAAGAGCATAGTGCCAGCATTTAGTCAATTTCTTCTTTTTCTTTAATAAAAAAATTGCTTTTACTTAGAAGCATTCAGAATGTCAACAAAACAGTTGCAACTTTTTTTTTGCAATTAGAGTGCTATTCAGTTAATAGAACAACAATTGTTTCATATAAGCTGCATCAGAGACAACTGAAGATGAAAAACTACCATCCTCATATATAACTGATTTGTGCTGTGCACCAACAATAGCCTGCTTTCAATTTCCATGCCAGTTTACAACCCCCACACTGTACCAGGCAAGGTTAGTGGCGATTGAAAATACCACCAGGACAGGGCTGTCTAAAGACATATTCGGTAGTGTGTTAACTGTATAAAAAAAGACACTGTACAGTTTAAAAGCAAATCTTACACAGCCTTACATTTCAATTTCTTTTTCTTCAAAAGGAGTGAGTTGTGTACAGGGGTGTTAAATGCTTTAAAGACAAAAAAAAAAAAAAAAACTGCATTAGAGGTTTTATGTTTATCTGCTTTGCCTGGATTACTGAAAGCTACTAGTTGAGAGCATTCAGCTGTCTATGTTCTTTTAAAGACCTTAGAATCCTGGTAGGAAAATCCAACTATGTCCTAATTTTCAGATAAAATGACATGCTGAATTTATCATCATCATCCTCTTCATCCTCCTCATCCTCTTCTTCAGCCTCCTCATCCTCATCCTCTTCCTCATCTTCTTCCTCCTCTTCCTCCTCATCTTCCTCCTCCTCCTCTTCCTTCTTTTTCTTGCTTTTTTCAGCCTTCATGACTCCCTTTTTTGCTGCATCAGGTTTTCCTTTAGCCGGTAGGCAGCGATGTCCTTTTCATACTTCTCCTTCAGCTCAGCAGCCTTCTTCTCATATGTTATCATCTGCTGCAGTATTATTCCACATTTCTCCAAGTTTCTTCACAACATCACCAATGGAGAGGCCAGGATGTTCTCCTTTGATTTTTGGGTGATACTCAGAACAGAACAAGAAGAAGGCCGAAGGAGGCCTCTTGAGCTCATCGGGATCCTTGAACTTCTTTTTTGATTCTCCTTTAGGAAGAATATAAGTTTTCATTTCTCTTTCATAACAAGCCTTGTCCACCTCTGCCATATCTTCACATTTTCCTTTTCCTGTAGCAGACATGGTCTTCCACCTCTCTGAGCACTTCTTAGAAAACTCTGAGAAGTTAACGGAAGCATCTGGGTGCTGCTACTTGTGTTCCTCTCGGCAAGTTTGCACAAAGAATGCATATGATGGCATCTTGCCTCTCGGCTTCTTAGGATCTCCTTTGCCCATGTTTACTTGTTTTCCTCAGTGACATACAGAGTCACCCAGTACCTGTCAGGCTCTCACTTCCCCCGGTGCTGTCTCTGTGGAGCTCAGTGTACTGCAATGGCTGTGAGAGCAGGAGCCAGACACAGCCTCCTCACTCTCTCTGCTCTGTAACCATCTAGTCAGCTTCTGGAGAGGGCATAGTTTCTTCAACATTATGGCGGAGGGCATCATGTGGCAAGTCAGAGCAAGTAGCCATGGAGATTCACTATCATCAAAAAGAGACTCCTGGGCTGGCGAGATAGCTCAGTGGACTAAAGCACCTGCTTAGGCAAGCACAGGGACTGTAGTTCGATCCCCAGCACCACATGCTGTGCCAGCCCTGCCCCCAGGACAGGCTGTGCTGGCCACAGAGTCCTGGCGTAGTGGCGTATGCCTATAATCCCAGCACTGGGGAGGCTGAAAACAGGAGAATCACTGAGTCCCAGTTGCACAGTGAGACCCTGAAATGACCAAATACATTAGAGAGAGAGAGAGAGAGAGAGAGAGAGAGAGAGAGAGAGAGAGA